TCCCAATACTTCTTGTCTGAATCTGTAACTAACCATGTCGGAGAGACCAAGTCGTCACCAGAGAAGACCTTCTCAGAGCGTTCCGATCTCACTTGAGGATCTTTCCGATGATATCTCTCTCACTACAAATCCTCCGACCTCCATCACTTCTCAGCCCCCACGTCATCAGATCCCTCCGCCGTCTCCGGCAGCTCCTCCGGCAAACCGTAGCAACAATGAAGATAATGCAAGCAAGGATCACAAAGGAAATGCTTCTTCTAATTGATTTCGCTTTTTTTCTTTATTTCATTTGTCTTTAATTAAAGTTTCATCTTTTTAATTAATTATCGTGTAAGCCTTTTTGTTATTTCTTCTTCTTCTGTCTTTTTTATTATTATATATAATTTCGCTTAATAATCGAATTTTATCTTTGTTTAATACTACTATATGATAATGAATTAATCGTAATTCGTATTCACTTATCTTTATTTCGAGCTTCTGGTGTTGTTGAAATGAAGAATACATGGGGGACAAACTTAGTTTATAGCAAAATCTGGATTAAAACAAACAAAAATTTACTTTTAACAATCTCTGTTTCGTTGAACTGTAGTGTTAGGAAAATTACAATATTGAAAGATGCTAGTACTAGTTTATTAGAATCTTAGTAGTACTATTTGTTATGGTTGACGTTGACCGAGGGATTCGTGGGTCTTCAATATTGAAAGATGGAAAAGGCTTTGAAGTACTAAAACAATAATAATAAAATATCAGTAGATGCAAAATTCAATGTTAATGATATTATATGGACATTTTATATTACTCAAAGAGTCAAATATACACTTAATTACATACTCATATCTTATGTGTAAATGATCTTCTTCTTCTTTTTTTTCAACCTTTCTTTACTTAGATGTATTTTTCAAATTGCTTAGGTACACATTAATGTGGGGATAACTGCTTTAGGTAAATAGTCAACATAAAATTTTGTTTCTAAGCTGATAAAATAGTACTTTCGAATGGTAAGACTACTCGAATTTCTACATTTGACTCTAAACTTTTAAGGGTGTGATTGGTTACAAATTAGAGGAAAAGAAAAGAAAAGGGAAATTGCATCCAATGACCCAAAAAAAATCTATAATAAAAATTCTAACCATTTAACCTAAATCTAAGGGTTGATATTTAGTTACATA